AGATTCTGTCTAGGAAACAATCAGATAAAAGAGGTGTAGCCTGTAGGTACATAATGGATGGAGAAACAGGCTCAGAAGGGACCCTCCCAAGTTTCATGGACAGTAAAGGAGACGGGGGCGGGAGGAGGATTATACTTTGCAGATTTGCAAAATTCTGTCAATGTAGCTTCATGGTAGAGTAGAATTAGCTCATCTAGTTGTGATTCCCATCTGGTTTACTCCACAAAGCTGACAGTAATTGCCTAGGCTCTTGCATTGTTTACAATTAAGTAAGCAATCTCTCTTTGGGGACTTCCACCCATTCCAAATAATCACCTTCCTCCCAATTTTTGCAGAGGACAAAGGTTCTTACGGGAATGGCAGGGAAATTTGTCTCCCTTTTCCTCCATGAAGTATATTTTTTTATTGCATTTGTAACAATAGAATAGAATAACAGAATTGGAAGGGACCCTGGAGATCTTCTAGTCCAAGCACCTGGTTAGGCAGGAAACCCTACACCACTTCACACAAATGGTTATCCAATCTTTTCTTAAAAGCCTCTGGTGTTGGAGCATTCACAACTTCTGGAGGCAAGTTGTTCCACTGATTGATTGTTCTGTCAGGAAATTTCTCCTTAGTTCTAGGTTGCTTCTCTCCTTGATTAGTTTCCATCCATTGCTTCTTGTCCTACCCTTAGGTGCTTTGAAGAATAGTTTGACTCCCTCTTCTTTGTGGCAGCCCCTGAGATATTGGAACATTGCTATCATGTCTCCCCTAGTCCTTCTTTTCATTAAACTAGACACACCCAGTTCCTGCAATTGTTCTTCATATGTTTTAGTCTCCAGTCTCCTAATTATCTTTGTTGCTCTTCTCTGCACTCTTTCTAGAGTCTCCACATCTTTTTTTTTAACCAAAACTGGATGCAGTATTCCAAGTGTGGCCTTACCAAAGCATTATAAAGTGGTATTAACACTTCACATGATCTTGATTCTATTAGAAGATTCTGATAGAAGAAAATTCAATAACAGAAGAAAAAGGGCATTTTCCAAAAACAAAGAAGAAAGAAAGAAAGAAAGAAAGAAAGAAAGAAAGAAAGAAAGAAAGAAAGAAAGAAAACCTTCTTACAATTCTGTTATATAACTCAAAAGAGTGCATGGAAGAACAACAATAAAAAAAATCCATCAGCACTGGCATTATCTGGACAGTAACAATAGCAAACCACAATTGCACACAAGAGTTTTCTTAATGCTACTTTGAGAGGCTAGGAACTTAGCTGGTTTTCTGCATGAAAAAACAGATGCTTACAACTTTCACTCTGTATCTGGGATGCCTCCTTAGCTGTGGGCATTGGGTCTCGTAAAAAAAAAAAAATCCATATGATGACCACAACATGCATAAAACGAAGCAGGGCTTTGATCATGCACCTGCAGATGCCATCTTGATATTTCTGACAGCCTTTGTGGATCCTCCTGACCTTATATCAAATACTTTTATCAGTGCTCAGTCATAATCACTGCCATGCAAGCGTTTCCAAGGGATGTGATTAAAAAAGTATCAAGGTGATGGCTGCAATGGTGCAATTTATTATTTATTGAATGAATTTATATGGATACTCAACACACATTGGGCAGCTTATACCATTTATGTTTATACCCTGACGTGTAGATGTCAGGGTGTGGACCAGGGATGAAATGCTATTGGTTCGCACTGGTTCGGGAGAACCAATAGCAGCGGTGGCATGTGGTTCTGTGAACTCGTAGCGGCGGCAGCGCGAAGCTCCTCCCACCTGCTCGGATGTCATTATTTCCTGGTTTTAACCAGGAAGTAACCTGTTTTTGACCCTCTGCGCATGCACAGAAGGCTTTGCGTATGCGCAGAGAGTCCAAAATCGCATGTGACACATGTGTACTTGCTCTGCTTGTGCGAGGGCACAAAGCGCGCACTTCCGAACCAGTAGGAAAGGAAAGTAGATTTCATCCCTGGTGTAGATGTAAATAGTGTAAGCTGCCCACAGTCTACTGACAGCAACAACACAACATCAACTACTGCAGACAAAACCATATCTTTAAGGCCTTTAGGAAAAGCCAGAGGGTGAGGGCCAACCATACTTCTAGATCAGGTGTGTCAAACGTGCGATGTTACATGATGTATCACAACTTTTCCCCCCTTCAGCACCCTTGCAGGGCAGTGCTGAGGATTTTGTGCAATTCCTGCATGACAAAGTCACTCAGATTCGGGAAGGTCTGGACTCTGATTGGGTAGATCCGGATGGAGTGATGGAGGGGAATCTTGAGAATATTAACTGGGAGGGGTTTGACCCTGAGGACATGGACAGGATTCTGGGGAGGCTTAGCGCTGCCACATGTTTGTTGGATCCGTGTCCTTCCTGGTTGATGCTGGCCTCCCGTGAGGTTACACGAGGCTGGCTCCAGGGGATTATTAACGCTTCTTTGAGTGAGGGTTACTTCCCCCCGTCTTTGAAAGAGGCGGTGGTGAGGCCTCTCCTCGAGAAGCCTTCCCTGGACCCGGCTACATTAGCGAATTATCACCCAGTCTCCAACCTTCGCTTCGTGGCGAAGGTTGTTGAGAGTGTGGTAGCGCGACAATTGCCCCAGTACCTGGATGAAGCCTATTATCTTGACCGTTCCAGTCGGGCTTCAGACCAGGGCACAGCACGGAAACGGCATTGGTCACATTGGTTGATGATCTCTGGAGGGCTCGGGACAGGGGTTGTTCCTCTGTCGTGGTCCTATTAGATCTCTCAGCGGCTTTTGATACCATCAACCATGGTATCATGCTGCGATGATTGGAGGGGTTAGGAGTGGGGGGCACCGTGTTGCGGTGGTTCTCCTCCTTCCTCTCCGACCGCACACAGTTTGTGTTGGCAGGGGGGCAGAGGTCGACCTCGAGGCGCCTTGTGTGTGGGGTGCCACAAGGGTCTGTCCTCTCGCCTCTTCTGTTCAACATTTATGTGAAGCCGCTGGGCAAGATCATCCGTGGTTTCGGAGTGAGATTCCATCAGTACACTGACGACACTCAGCTGTACATTTCCACTCCGAACCACCCCAATGATGCCCTTGACGTGATGTCCCGGTGCCTGGAGGCAGTGCGGATCTGGATGGGGAGAAACAGGCTCAAACTCAACCCCTTTAAGACTGAGTGGCTGTGGCTTCTGGTGTCCTGGTATAGTCAGCTGGTGCCATCGCTGACTATTGGGGGTGAGATCCTGGCCCCCACAGAGAGGGCTCGCAACTTGGGTGTTCTCCTGGATGCATGGCTGTCTTTGGAAGAGCACATGACAGCCATAGCCAGGGGAGCTTTCTATCGGGTTCGCCTGATGCACCAGTTGTGTCCCTTTCTGGACCGGGATGCCCTGCGCACAGTCACTCATGCCCTCGTCACATCCCGTCTGGACTACTGCAACGCTTTTTACATGGGGCTCCCCTTGAAGAGTACTCGGAGGCTCCAGCTGGTCCAGAATGCGGCCGTGCGGGTGGTTATGGGTGCGACTCGGTGCGCCCATGTAATACCCCTCCTGCGCGAGCTGCACTGGCTCCTGTTTGTCTTCCGAGTGCGATTCAAGGTGTTGGTCACCACCTTTAAAGCGCTCCATGGCCTAGGACCGGGATACATACGAGACCGCCTTCTGCCATCAACAACCTCCCACTGGCCAATACACTCCCATAGAGAGGGGCTCCTCAGGGTGCCATTGGCCAAACAATGCCGACTGGCGACACCCAGGGGGAGAGCCTTCTCTGTGGGGGCACCAGCCCTTTGGAATGAGCTGCCCCTAGAGCTTCATCTTAGCCCCGACCTGCGTACTTTTCGCTGTGCCCTAAAGACCTTCCTGTTTCAGCAAGCCGGACTGGCCTAATATGAATTTTAAGTGGGTGTATGTGTGTTTTAATTGAGGGCCAAATAGTATATATTTGTTTTAATTGGTTTTAAATTTTATAAATTCATGTGTTTTAATGTGGCTGTACACCGCCCTGAGTCCCCTGGGAGAAGGGCGGTATAGAAATCCAATAAACTCTAAACTCAAACTCTAAACCCTTCGCTAAAATGGGTGGATGGGTGGGAATGGCCAGCGTGTGACGCATCCAGCCCGCCAGCTGCGAGTTTGACACCCCTGCTCTAGATGAATGATGTTCCATAGAGAAGGGGTCACCACCGAGAAGACCCTCTTTCATGGACCACCAGGCATACATCCCTAATCAATGGGACCTGTAACAAATCCTTTCTTTCCAACCTCAGGGGCCGAGTGATGTAATAAGGGAGAAGACAGTCCTTCAAATAGCATGACCTTAAACCAGGCAGGGCTTTAACCATGATAAACAGAACCTTGAATTGTAAGCAGAATCAGATAGTCAGCCAGCATCTGTAGGAGATGACCAGGCTGAGCCTGAGGGTGGGCTCAAATGTATCTGTCAAGATTGAACCACATTTGAAACTTTTGAGTCTTATCACTATTCTAACATATCAAAGAACTGGGGGTGGGGGGAAGGGAAGAGTGAGAAGGAATGCAGATGCTCCAGGGATAGACTGTGAGAGCCAAGAACCCAGAAAGGTCACTGCTGTAGCTGCCCAACAAAGAAGAAAACTGTTCTCAAAACAAAAGGACAACGGGAACATCTGTGGGTGGGGAGAAGGGGACGCTATTGTTTAACCATGCAAGCATTGCGTGGGAAAACCAGAGCTGGTTTTGATTCTTCAGTACCAAAATGGTGTATCCAATAAAGTTTTGCTTTTGGGATGACAAAGTTCCTGAGAGTCAGACCGTTGACAGTATCATTAGTTTGGAGTCGCAACGCTTCCACAAGAGATCCATTCCAGCCTCCCCCCCACCCCATGAATTCCATTGACTCTTATTTAGCACCAATTTGCCTTGACCGTTTAGTCAATCAGATTCTTGTGTATAGGTAGCATGAAATAGACTCATAGTACTTTTGAACTTTATCCTGGCTCCTGATTTCTTGCACTTAACAGTGTCATATATAAAGCAGATGGAGCTTCAATCTTACCATTATGACCAACAACTTAATTTTTTTTTTTTTGATCATACTGCTGTCCTTCGTGGAATCGTGTACCTCATAATTTCTTATTTGTTTAATCATGTTCGGTCGTAGCTAACTGCAAAGGCTGACTCTGAGAACTTCCTGGTGATTCTTCCCACCATCCAACACCATAGAAATTCAGCCAAGTGGATTGTTGCCTGCAATTGCTCCCTCTGCAAATAACAGAAATTTTGAGTAGTGATTCATACCCAGGTTTTCCTTGAACTTTCCCTTTTTAAATGAGGTCCACTATGTTTTGAATTCTTCTAAATCAACCTATTCTCTTTAAGAATTTTTTTTAAAAGATACAATGATTACAAAAATGACAGAAAGCTCTTTCCCCTAAAATAACCTGAGAACACTTAAAAAAAAATCAAGCAACATTTCATGCCAATCTCAAATTTGGAGAATTCATTCCAGCTGAAGAAAGTGATGATAACACCCTTAAAAATAACATTTACTAAAATATTTAGTTAAGTGTTTAGAAAAGGACATGCATGTCCTGTTTTTTCCCTACCTTCAGGGTTGGAGAACAAAGCTGTCTCCATCTGAGTGATGCTTTAGCCACGAGGAAGAAAGTATAACAGCAATAAAATGCTACTTTGTCAGAGCAAATGGATTTTTAAATTGAATTCTTATCAAATTAACCATTCATCAAGATCAGGCAATATTGCACAAATAAATTTTGCCAGGACTCAGACAATCTGCTTTGGTGAACCCACTGGGGGAAAAAAAAGGATTACCCAGCTGGTCTATCACCTCATGGTATAGGACTCACTGAACGTTGCAATGAACATGAATTTGGCCAAATTCTGAGAGACAGTGGAGGATGGGGGTGCTGGCATGCTAGGGTTTATGGGATTGTGAGAGAAGAAGAAAAAGGAGGAGGAGGAGAAGAGGAGGAGGAGGGGGAGGAGGAGGAGAAGAACATGAAGAAGAAGAATGAAGGAGGAGGAGAAGCAGAAGAAGGAGGAGGAAGGGGAGGAGAAGGGGGAGGAGAAGAAGATGATTAAGAAGAAGGGAGGAGGAGGAGGAAAAGAAGAAAAAGAAGAAGAAGGGAGGAGGAGGAGGAGAAGCAGCAGCAGCAGAAGAAGAAGAATGGAGGAGGAGAAGAAGGAGAAGAAGAAGAAGGGAGGAGGAGGAGAAGCAGAAGCAAGAAGAAGAAGAAGAAAGGAGGAGGAGGAGAAGAAGAAGAAGAAGAAGAAGAACGGAGGAGGAGAAACAGAAGAAGAAGAAAAAGGTGGAGGAGGGGGAGGAGAAGGAAGAGAAGAAGAAGAAGAAGGGAAGAGGAGGAGAAACAAAAGGAAGAAGAAGAAGAAGAAGAAGAAGAAGAAGAAGAAGAAGAAGAAGAAGAAGAAGAAGAAGAAAGGGGAAGGGGAAGAAGTCACATGGTCATTTCAGGAACTGCTGAAAAAAATGCAGCCATTAAAAGTAAAAAAACAAACAAACCATGCTGCTATGAGAATGTGTACCATTTTCCTATGGGAAAAAAGGAGTCCCAGAATGTTCTTACATCTTCAAAAACTAGTTAAACCTCCTCTATCCCTAAATAGACCAATGATTCTTTTCTCTAGGCACTTAATAAAAAAAAATGAAAACATAAATCTGCCGGAGCAGATTTTTGTAATGCAAGCTGAATTCAATTTACACCAATAAAACAGATTTATACTGATAAAATGGATCTTACACCAATAAAACTGATTAGATTTATACTAATCTATGCATTGCTAATCAGCATTGTAGGGAATTGCTTTGTTCCCTAGTTTGAATAATGGGGCTTGCTTCCTATAGGGATGAATTAAATATTCAGTTTTGCTTTTTCTTACCTTCCATTTTTTTTAAAAAAAAATCTTGATTTTTTTCCCCCACTGTCCTACTTATGAAGAAATCTGGAATTTGATTTTAATTTGTAACAGATGGGAGCAGAATTCCATTCTCATTTATGTACAGCAAATTTAACCCCTACCTCTACAGTAATTTCAGGCTATGACACTTGCTCACTAAATAGTTCTTAAAGATGAGATGCTCTTCATCATAAATAAACTCAGTCTACATACCCATCATATTGTAGTTATACCATGCAAAATGTAGAAAAGGAAGAAGAAATTGTAAGGTTAAGAAATTAAAGGTAAGAAAAACTAAAGAAAATATAGTTCCATTGAGTTCAGCGTTTCTCAAATATGGTTTTAAGATGTGTGGCTTTCAGTTCCCAGAATTCAATGGAAGTTGGTCCATTCATCTTAAACTGTCCAAGTTTGAGAAACATTGATCTAATTTATACTGACATCATTCAATATAGTTGATATATTCAAGTACATATTCAATACATATCAGTCTACCTTTAGAAACCATCCTTGCTTGTACCATATCTATAGACTACTTCATAACTGCCTTTTGTGCCTTCAACTTCTTAACTATTTCTTTTTCAGGATGTTCTCAGCTCCATCTGATGTCTTCAACTTCACCTGTCACCATCTTTCCTGTTTTTTTCCTTCCTTTTGACCAATTGACTGTCCTATTGTGCTGTGGTTTTGCAATTCCAACCTTATTCGTTCTCTCAATATGACCAAATGATCTCAGTTATGATCTCCCATAATTTTCTATTCAATCCACATTCTGTAGGATCCTTGGTCCTCTCTGAGCTTGGTGGTTTTCTTGCAGGCATTTCATTGCCAAACTAAGTAACATCATCAGCGTTAGCTGACTAAGGAAATGTCTTCAGGAAAAGCACCAAGCTCAGAGAAGATCAAGGACCCCACAGATCAACCCTGAGCTACAAATATTATGTTCTATCAATCCACATTCATTCAGCATTCCTGAATTCTGGTTCTACCAGACACATTTCTTAAGTGTCCTATTCAGGGGTGGGCTGCTGGGGGTTCGCAGGGGTTTGGGAGAACCTCTAGCTAAGATTCCGTGCAGTTCGGAAAACCCCCAAATCCCACTCCTGGCTGGCCCCGCCCATCCCACCCCTCCCAGGAGTCCCCACGTGGCCCGTTTTGGATGCAGGTAAGTGCAGGCTCAGTGAGGGCAAAAAATGGGCCTACTGGAAGTTTGGGAAGACTGGAAAAAAGCCTGTTTCAGGTCTCCAGAGGGACTCTGGAGCCTGGGGAGGTTGTTTTTGCTCTCCCGGAGGCTCAAGGAAAGCGTCCGGAGCCAGGGGAGGGCAAAAACGCCCCCCCCCCCCACCGTGGTGCAGGAGGCCAACTAGGCCACGGCCACTATGACCATGCCCACCCAGCAACCAGGCAGAGAACCCCTTGCTAAAATTTTTGAAGCCCACCCCTGGTCCTATTCCATTTGTATAAAACCAGATATGTCCATAGAGGTATGGCCAAAAAAGTCAAGAAGGCAGTTGTGGTGGTGAGATCAAAGTTCCATCCATTTTAAAATGTGCGATGCATATTAAAAAGTGGGCAGAGGTTCAAGTATAATGTTGTGGATGCCATATTGACTTTTTGGACCATACTCTGAAGACACCTCTACACCCAACTCTCCTTGATAATTCTCCAACTCTCACTGCTGTATGAGTTGGCTCTTATGCTGCCATTTTGTTTTGCTTTTTACATCAAATATTCATTCCTTGTGATGAGTGGCGCAGTGGCCTAGAGGTGGAGCCCTTACCCCATAATCAGGAGGCTGTGAGTTCAACCCTAGGCAGCGGCAAATGTTACTCTATCTGGGTGCAATAGGTAATTGTCTGCTGCAAACTCTGCTTAGGTGTCAGAAAGGGTATTTGGCCAGTAAAAGCTTCAGTTTCATTCAGTCATCCCAACCTTACCCCAATGCAATGGATTACAGGGTCTTTAAAAGGAAAAAAAACCCCATTCCTTGTGACAAACCACATAACAAGTATTAGCTCTCTACCTGTATGTGCAGATTTTAAAATTGACATGCAACTTGCAAAGTGCTCCCATTCCAGTGGTGGGATTCAAATTGTTTTACTACCGGTTCTATGGGCATGGCTTGGTGGGCATGGCAGGGGAAGGATACTGTAAAATCTCCATTCCCTCCCCACTGCAGGGGAAGGATACTGCAAAATCCCATTTCCTCCCAATCAGCTGGGACTCAGGAGGCAGAGAATAGATGGGGGCGGGGCCAGTCAGAGGTGGTATTTACCGGTTGTCCGAACTACTCAAAATTTTTGCTATCAGTTCTCCAGAACTGGTCAGAACCTGCTGAATACCACCTCTGTCTCATTCTACTTTCAAAAATGTCTTCCAAACTCCTTGAAGATTTAAATTCAGACCATCAGAATTGGATGGAGAAATGGCTAGATTTTAGGTGGAATGACTTGGGATCACTGTTGTGGGGAAAACAGAGGGATCTTCAGGATAGAAATAGAATTGGTTTGCTTTCCATCCTCTCACCAACCTTTATTTTGGAAATGAGTAATAGGTTAAGCTGGTTGTGTGAATGCAGCCATTGTGTGAGAGGGTGAGGGTGTTGTTGTTTTGCTTCCTGATGGATGGATTATTAACTCCAGCCCCTTGGCCACTTCTATTATCCAGCAACAAAGATATATGACAGCTGGAAAGCAATTTTGGATGCCTTCCTGAATAACAAAATAGTAACATATTTGACAAACTATTTCAGTGCACATAGTAAGAGAGATAATGATAATTAGCCAAGTGCTTTATGCCCAAATGCTCCTGAATGCCAGAAAAGAAAATACAATATTTTCAGTCAAGATAATTGAAAAGATTATTAGGCTTATCTAAAATAACTTCTCCTCAACGCCTCCTTCTGTCACGCAAGCTTCAGCACATTTGTTACATGCATTTGTATACAGATGTACAAATTTGATTACCTGATTCAATTCTCATGTTTACTGTTAGGGAATGGTGGGGGGGGGGGAATAAGTGGACATGAGTGTGTGTGTGTGTGTGTGTGTGTGTGTGTGTGGTGTGAAGGTTCCCTTGATCAAAAGGGGCCATTACCTAGCTTGCTTTCAGTCCAAGATGCCACCTTTTTTGAGCTGCAAAAATCTAGATGACCATGAGGTGGCAGTAAAGAAATATAGTAAAACTATCTGTTGTCATCTAGTGGTCAATTAGATTTTTGCAAGCCAGATCTTTAGATTCTCTATCAATCCAGAAAGAGAGGAACCAAGGTTGAAAGATGAGGATAGTCTACATCAGTCTAGGACTAGGTTAGGGGTGGACAACCTGTG